AGTACCGACATGCCGTAATTAACGTACACTCATCTTGAAATGAAATAAAAAGACGGTTATCTGTGATTACTACAAATGTTCTCACTTCGAGATCCAAATTTACCTGCTGGCCAGACACTATATAATTTTTCAGCCAACTTTCACTAACCGAATTATTTCCTGACTTATATGTTTTCTTACTCGATTTGGCAACACCGCATTTATAGAAACTAGACACATCAATTATCATTAAAAATAATTTAGTGTTTATTTATTTTTCTAACAAACTAAAAATGAAAAATAAGAAAATTTGATCGTTTATGAAAAAATTTGGTACGGTTTATTGCTCTATGAATGGTCTTATATTGTTATTTAGCCGTTTCTACAACAAGAAATCAGTGAAAATGGTTAATTTTACATTTGTTTTATGATGGAGACCCGATAACAAATTTTAAGGATTTTGGATTTTAAGGTATTTTTTTTTTTTTAAATAAGTGTTAGCGGACCCAAAATTGTTATGTATAGTGTGTTTCAAAGTGTCTAGAAACTCTTTATAACATTTCAATAGTTATATCCGCCGTTCGAGTGTCGGCGTATAATACCGATGTTTCCCTTTTTGGTATTATGAAAACAAATAAAAATTATAACTCTGTTCTATTTAATTAAGCCAACCAAGTATGAGTACTCGCAAAAACACCATAATTAACAAGGGAGTTAATCACGAGTATAGTTAATAAAATAAATTATTTAATATTTTGAAGATCAACATGATATTTTTAATCATATTACTGTGTATACCGAAGTAGTATTTAATTTTAAAAAAATATTGTGTAATACCAGATAAGAATTTTCTTCTGTTGGGCCACTTTCTCCATGAAAATGTAGTGAAAAAATATAAGTATCTTTAGTAACACCATCAATCCATCGAAAACCGTTGTCACTTCAACGACATTTTTGTCACACCTAATGCACATTTTGCGCTTTTTACTTTCCTATCTGTATACAGATATAAGGAAAGTATAGGAATCATGATTTTTTTCGACCTCGAGTTTTCGACGGATTTTTACGTTTTGAGGTCCCCTGAATCCGTTTTGACTATTTTCGCGATGATGTCTGTGTGTGTGTGTGTGTGTGTGTGTGTGTGTGTGTGTGTGTGTGTGTGTCTGTGTGTGTGTGTGTGTGTGTGTGTGTCTGTATAACGCATAACTCATGAACCGATACACAGAAAAACACCAAATTTTAAACTTAAGCTTTGTTTCAGCGTCCAATGAGCTGATTAGATTTTGGGCAGAGTCGGAACATCTGGGGGGGTACTTTATAGGTGGTCATTTTTATATTTTATGGAATATATCTGTTATTTACGTTTGGAGAAGAAAATTCTTCAAATAAAAGTTACTTCTAATATAAATATCTATAATTTTTATTAAATGCAAAATTTTCCTAAAATGGTCCGTATTCGAGAAATTTGACAAAATGTAAAAAAAATAATTTTTTATAAAAATTGTTCAAATAAAAGTTGTTTGTAATATAATTCTCTTTAATTTTTATTCTATACATAATTTCTCTAAAATGGACCGTATTCGAGATATTTGAGAAAATGTGTAAATTTCGAATTTTGAAGAAAACTCAAAAACGGATAAAGAAAAAAACATTAAATTTTAAACTTAAGGTTTATTTCGGCCTGACGTAAAATGATTAGATTTTGGAACAGTCGGAACATCTGGGGGGGTACTTTATGGGAGGCCACTTTTATATTTTATGGAATATATCTGTTATTAATGTTTGGAGAAAAAAATTGTTCAAATAAAAGTTACTTCTAATATTATTATCTATAATTTTTGTTTTATGTAAAAATTTCCTGAAATGGTCCGTATTTGAGAAATTTGACAAAATGTGCAAAATTCTGATTTTTATGAAAATTTTTGAAATAAAAGTTGTTTGCGATATCGATCTCTATAAGTTTTGTTTATACATGATTTTTATAAAATGGACCGTAATGAAAAAATTGTAGGAAATTTAAATTTTTCAGTATTTTCGTTTTCCATGAATATCTATAGAAAAATGTTTCGAGGTAGATGTATGTGGACAATGTATATATTTAGTTTATCCTCTAAACATTTATAGAGATGCTGCAATAGGTTGTACAAAATAACCGGAAAAAGCCTATAATAACTAGATAGGAAAGTCATGTGTTGGACACATCAGATTTTTAAACATGTCTTAATATGGATTTTGCCTGATAATTTGATATTTTTTTACGATGTTGCAGCCAATGCTTTGGAAAATTTATAAAATAATATGTATTGCCTTTAAACAATTTATACCGTGTCACTTTTACATATAGTAGACGGCACAGATAAATTTTACTATTCCACAATTAAATATCATTATTATTAATATATCTTTATATAATTTACAAAGACACTGCCGACGTTCAGCTTAAACAAAAAATGTTGTCAAACTTCAAAAATAAAATGATGGGTTCAATTCTGTTACAGCTAAACGAGTATGTTAAGCACACAGTACCTGAAGCGTGTGTCAAATAATTATTTTATGACTGGTTTCGCTGTACGATGAGAATCTGTCGGCTCAATTAATTTTTTTTTTATTTTTTGCGTTGAATTATATTTGTTTATTTCTTTTAGTGTACATCAGGTAGATGTTCCGGTGCGTACATAATATTATGACATATCCCCCTTGTAACGAAAATAGGGTTATTTTTAGATTGGAACTTGTGGAAATGTAAATCGTAAAATCTCTATTATATTAATTTGAGTTGCGAATTTTATCCTGTTTATTTTGCTATAGAGAGTCCAGTAAAGATCAGAAGAGGTAAATAATTTAAGTTTTTCAAGAGAATAGTAATACTGGTTGCTTAAGTGGTAACGTCACACAAATGGTGTCTATAATGACGTCTTATAAGACTTTCGAACTTATTTTAAAATTATCTATCAGAAAGTCCACAACTATTACAATTTAAGGAGGTCCTTTCGCCACCCCTTTCGCCACCAATGTTAAATAAAAAATATTAGATTATGACTAAAATTTATTTTTTTTTCTAATAGTTGAAGTTTTTATTTATCTAATAGTGAACTTTTAACTATACCTTACCGTGCAAATTTTTGAGAATTTTTTTTTAATGTGAGTATTTGTACAGTGTCTTACGAGAAAGTAAGACTTCAACAACAATTCTCGAATTTATTTATTGATTAGATGAAGTAGAAAAAAAAATAAAAATAAGTTTTTTGAAATATTTAGGTTTTGTTTTTTACAATAAAATATATAGGTTACCGTGGAATTTATTGAGAAATTAATATTAAAAAAAAAGTTCAAGTAACCTAGTGATTTTTTAATATTAATTTCTCAATAAATTCCACGGTAACCTATATATTTTATTGTAAAAAACAAAACCTAAATATTTCAAAAACCTTATTTTTAGTTTTTTTCTACCCCATCTAATCAATAAATAATAGTATACTCATTATAATTCGAAAATTGTTGTTGAAGTCTTACTTTCTCGTAGGACACTGTACAAATACTCACATTTTTAATTTTTTTTTTTTTTCAAAAATTTGCACGGTAAGGTGTAGTTAAAAGTTCACTATAAGATAAATAAGGACTTCAACTATTAGAAAAAAATTAATTTTAGTCATAATCTAATATTTTTTATTTAACATTGGTGGCGAAAGGACCTCCTTAATGCCTGATTTTTTCAATATTATAAAAAAATTATAACTAATAATAAGTTATTATTTCGGTTAGAATATTTCTTCAGATATTAAAAAAAAATGGGCTCTCATACACCACGGAACTTCTTCCTGTTAAAACTATATAGGGATCCGAAATTAAAATAGCAGCATCTCACTCGCCGAAACCACGTATTTATTTATTTATTATACAGTGTCGGCTATCGAACGCTATTTAAAACGCTTTGCTATTGTCCAAGTGAAAACCACAGTAAGTTAGTGAGCATGAAACGAATATCAGCGTTGCCAGTTTATATACAGCCAATGTTACAACGCGATCGGGGTAAAAACTGACAACGCTGATATTATTCGTTTCCTACTAGGCCTAATGCTAACTCTCCGTAGTTTTCCCTTGGACATTAGCAAAGCGTATTCGAAAGCGTTTACTGGTCGATACTGTATGTTGTTTATAAATTATTTCAGGAAAATCTTTTATCTTGTTTTTTTTTTCATAGGTAAACGTAAAAAATATGTTGAGAATACATTACACGCATATTTGTATTAACTAAACATTGTGGAGTTTAGTGGTTTATTAGTATAGTCCATAGTTTTAGAGAATTAATAATACAATAAGTATTTCTGCTAATATTTTGCGATTTTAAGAAACATTTTTATACTGTCTGAGAATTTTAACAATCACTAAGTATGAGCGATGAGCAAGTCTGTTTTTTAAATATTTATATCCAAAATATGAAAGAATTTTATTTTGAGCAACATGACTGACATTTAAGTTATTTTGGAAGCTCTGTACTCAGGAAATTAATGAAAAATAAGGCTGGGTTTGTTTTTTTTTATGAGTTACACTGTAGCACCGAAGAGTAATAATTTGCTATTTTACTCATTCTAATTTAATTCAAGTTACTTTAGAAACTAATTTTATTTTAAACGCGATATAAAATATTTATTTAAAATGGATCAAAATATTCGAAAACTTGCAACCATTTTGTGTGAAAATATGAGAAATTCCATCAAGGTCACACTATTGTATAAATGGGTAAGTAGTTCTGTTTTTAACTGATGCGTATCACTTATGTTTAGATCCCTATATTAATTCATAAGTTAGTTGAACAGTTTTTTTCAATAAAAACGGCTTTAACAAAATACAATTTTTGAAAATCATGTATATTTTTTATTCCATAACACTTCACTCTATAATAAATCCCAAAATTCAAGTAAAACTGGGAAGTACATTCATCGCATTTTCACTAGGTTACTTATTAGATATAACGGCATTTTTCAAAACGCCAATTGTCAAATTTCAATTGTTAAAGTTGTATGGCAGCTGTCAATTTTCAATTGTTTTTCTATTCATCACAGCATCACACAATAATCTTAAAATATCCTTTTAAGACGTTGGTACTTAGTTTACTGGTTTTGCTCAACGAACTGGAGTGGGGTGTAATACCAATAAGAGCATTTTGTGCAATAGGATTAGGTGTGACTCTATATGCGCAGCCATTCTATTTGTTCATCTCATTTCGGGTGTATTTATAACAACCATTTTCTGTTTTACCCTATTATCTGGTCCACAATCTGGTGGAACAGGATTGTCCAGAGTGAAATAGAAAATAGTTATTATAATTACTCCAGAGCGAGATAAAAAATAAAATGACGCAACCCTTAGAGTCACATCTCGATCTTATTGACAGGTATTCAACCAAACTCCAGTTTATTGGTTTTGTTTAGATGATGTTGGCTTTTTCTGATTTTTTGGAAGCCCTCATTCGTCTGATGAAGATTTCTATGCACCAGCTTACTATTACCACTAATGTGATTGTGTTTAAAGCATGTATGCATATTCTGTAGTTCCATAAGTCCTTCAATAAACCTATAAACGAAAAAATTAAATGAACAACTATTTGAATGATAGAAAGAAGTTTTCTATATTTACCTAAACATTGTCCAATGGTTAAAGTCAATATGGCTTTAGTAACCATATTGAGACCTACTGCTGAGGGTAGTTGGTCTTTAGAAATATATTCGGAAATAACCAAATTTTGGTTTATCACAGCTATAGCTCGGAAATACCCAACGATGAATCCAACTATCGCTAAATATAGGTAACTTGGCATTTGAACTTCAACTGAAAGTAGGAAAAGAAATTAAATTATAGTTTTAGAAAATTTTAATAATTTTTGTGTTACAAAGTATCGAGTGATCAACAAAAAATGTCGATGGTTGAAAGGCAAAAGGTTATAAGCGACAGGTAAACAACTTTACAGTAGGACGATATAAAGTTTTTTTTTTTTATTTTAATTTATTTTATTTTTTTTATATGCATTTTTAAAATTTAAAGACCAGTATAGTAAAACCTAAGGCGAATTGATTTATTAACTATTACAACACATGAACATAGACTTTCATAACAAAGTTGCAGTCGCTTAAGCAATTTACTGAACAAATTAAATTTAGGTAAAAGGCCTTAACAGTCCTCACATTGAATTACGGCAAATAGGTAAAACGTTTTAACCACAAATTTTAAATATAAATAATTAGGTAAAGTGTATTAAATGCCTTAATAATAAATATAAATGATTAGGTAACGAGTGTTAATTGCCTTAGTACTAAATATAGAAGCAACGGTAAAACATTTTAACCCCTCAAACATTGAACACTTGGAATTAGCTAAGTGGTTTTAATCATTCTTACAATAAGCAACAGCGATTAGGTAAAATATTTTAATCAAATAATTAGCGAATATCAGCTAAAGTTTTAACACTAATTTAACCAAATGTTATTTTTTGTAGATTACGCAGACAAAAATTATACGGACCTAAGGAGATGGCAATCAATTAAGATGTACGACAATTATTATTACTTCGGAGTTATGGTAATAAAAATTAAACAAAAATGTATAAAAGTATCAAATTTATTTTCTAACGTGTAGGTACATTTCTTATTTTCGTAATATGGTAGGTATTTGTTAATAATATTTGTTTAAAATAAATAATTACTCAAATTCGTCTTCTATATCAGAATCGGGTAAAGTATCTTTCACAGTTGCTGTTGGAATGTTCATAAATTCGTGATGAAAAATTGGTGGTATAACATTATTTATGCAAAGTTTGTTGAGATCATCGTATTTTTGTTTAGATATTGGAAGAAGTGATTTGTAACAGCTAGTGGGTGTAGCTTTTAATCTCATTTGCACTTCTATTTTAAAACTGGACGCTTTTTCATTCATTGAATTTTTAATGGTTATTTTATGCACGTCTTTTTTCTTAAAAGTGCACACTCGAACTTTACTGATTTTTCCAATCAGGTTTTCTTTAAAATACATCTCACTTAAAACGTCCCACTTATTAAAATCTTTAAAACACAAATATTCCACATTGTAAGGCCGTGGGTCTTGTCTTGCGGTTGCAAACACAGTATACCACTGAGAAGGAGCCCAAATAATGGAATTTTTTATGCTCCTCTCAATAATGGCATGCACAGAATCTACCGGCATGTATGTATGCCCAGTAAGTAAGAAGTTAATTTGAATTGTTTCAATAAATTTACAATTTTGTAAAGTAGCATGAATCATCGACAAAATTGTTTTGTTGCGATTCTGTCCAGGGCAACAGTCACAATACAAAAGTAAATTTTTAACAGATTCGCGTTTATCAACCATGCTTATATATCTGTGTAAAATGGTGGCAATTTCATTTGCACCGAGTTTTCTATTTACTTCGTCCCAGTAATAACAAAAAACTTCTCGGGTACCACTTTCATAAAACGTAAGGTTAAATATGGAAATCTTTCGCAAATAATATAGTAACATGCTCTCGCCATTGGGCGTGTTTAAGACTTTTTGCAGGTCAAAACTTACGCACAAAGTGGCTGGGTCAGTTTTTTGAATATTTTGATGCATTTTAAAACGATTATATGAGTGGTTTTTTTCTTCAACATGATCTAGTTTAGCTTGTTTTATAGCCTCATCGGCAATGTCCATGTCCAACCGTTCAAACCGAATACATTGTAAACACTTGTCCTTTTTTGGCACGTGAAACCCAATATTAAAATTTTCTTGAAAAATATTTCGAAAGATTCTCTCGCCCACTACATCGATTCCCTGCAATACATTCTTCTTTTTGTATATCTGATAGAGTTTAGTTAAATTTTTAAAGTCTTGTGGAAGATACAATCGGGATGAATTTTTTCGACAGTAATGAGATGGTACAGCCGGAAGACTCTTAATAAAATTAATTACCGCCAATTTAGTACATTCTTTGGTCTTGTTAGGTGGTATGGACTTTCCGCGTAGATCTTCTTTAGCAGAACCAAATGAAGCGTTGCTTACTGTATAGTATATTTGGGAAACATCTAGTGTATTGCATAAAAATTGAAGGCAGACAGACCGTTTGCCTTCTCCTTCATTTATGAAGTATTTATGCGTAATAAACTGACGCTTCTCTGAATCTGTTCGTCTCTTTCTTTTGACTAATAATTTCTGCGACATGCCCACAATCCAATCTTTACGCCGGACTACGTCAAGGGACCAGAAATGATCAAAGATCTGTTTTCTCTTTTCTTCAGATATGTCTTCGCAATTATTGCCACACTTCTTACCTTTGCATGGATTGAAAATTTAATTGTTTTGCTGGTACAACAGTTCCATTAGATTTAACATATTCTTGACCGGACTGTTTAGTTTCCTTTTTTAACTTTCTCTTATTTGTTTTCTTGATAAGTTTACCTAATTCCCCAACTGTATTTTCTTTCTCTTCATTAGTGATAGGCTTTCGCTCATTTTTTTGTTTTTTCTTATTTTGTTTTCTTTGGCAATTTTCAGTTTCGCTACCCTCCGATGATGATTCTTCATACAAATCAGAAGAATCACTGTCACCTCCAAAAGCTTCTGCTACAAAAGCTTCGTCATCAGATAAATAGTCTAAATTTGAAACTGTTTTTGGTTTTCCACCGCTACGTAGTCTCTTACTGCCCGAACTTGAAGCAAAGGCATGATTCTCCTTTTTTTCTAATTTTTTTTCATCTGGATTTGTTGGTACATGGGAAGCATGGAACGATTCATCATTATTTGGGTTGTATGGCAGCAGCTTCACATATGTGGGTTCCTCAGCGGTTTTAACAGTTTGGTCTGACAGAGCCTCTACAAATACTTCATCTACCTTATTTACTGTTGACGGCATGCAAGTTTCAATATAATGTGCTTCGTTTGCTTTTGGATAGGAATCGTCATAAAAGTCTAAACTAGTATAATGATTGATACATTCCGGAGGGGTATTTTCCTTTTCCTAAAAAACAAGTTAAAAACAAAATAAAATCTTCAAGGTATTTCTAGTATTAATAAATACCTCAACAGTATCTTTTATTTCCTCTTGTAAAATAACCGATTCTTTTTCTTGGTTAGTATCAGAACATGATTGTTCGCTTTAAGAGTTCTAAAATTAAAATTAAATTAAATATTTGCATAGTTTTAAGGTGGCCACACACACTGATCAATAGGACTGCTCCACATATATGTCAATATTTTTTGCCCGTACACTGTCGAATAGGTGCACACGGGCGTGTATGACGGGCATGTTTGACACACATGTTTACCAGTCTGTGGCCGCCTTAAGATAGGTAAGTCTAAATGGTACAAATTTCAATAGAATTATCCATTTTGGCTGGATAGATTCTTTTAAGTTAAGTTAAAATCAATTATACTTGTTTTTGTGCATCACCAGTTCTTTTTCTACACATTTAAAATTACCTTAACATATTCATTCTCAAGAATTGACAATAAATTTTTGCGGATCTTCTGTTTACTCTCTTCGATTTTTCGTGAACAAACCGCTAATTTTAAAATATTTTTTGTATTTTCGTTGGTCGCCATTACAATCTAAAATCAAAGTTAAGCATGACTTAAAGCTCAATTGAAAAATAATTAGGCTAAATTATTTGGAAATTTTACTAGATTTTTTATCTACTTTTTTATTTACTTGTTTTTTTTTTTTTTTCATTCATTTATTATTTATAAATGCCTAATATTTTAATTTAAGACAACAAAAAAATGTAACATTGAAAATAACGATCAAAGATATTAATCCCCCCTCTTCATAGCTTAAATTAATTCAATATTTTAATAAGTCATCAAGACGATAATATACAGATGTAGCCTTGTCGGGAATACAAACATTCAAGAGCCATTTGGAAGAAACCCATTTACTGTAGCGCTTCCTGGTGGCTTAAAACCTCAAAACTAATTTGAAAATCTGTTTTGATGAAGCATCTACTTATGTAATGCAAAAAACCGCATCAAAATCCGCCTAGCCGTTACATAGAAACATCTAAAACCCCTTTTAAGGAAAAATATATCTACTGCATGCAGCGCCCCTGGCGACATATATCCCTGAAACTTAACCAAAAATTTGCTCTAGGATGATACCTTTGTAATGCTAAAATCGCCATCATACTTGGCCTGATCGTTTTAAAGAAACACAAAAGTTAAATTATTGAGTTTTGTATAAATTAATGGATACCTATCTTATGAAAAGTAATTAAAACCCATACATCAAAACCATGCCTTTTATTTTCCAAAACATTATTATTTAAACCGCAGACAAAAACATAAAATTTAAGATCCAATAAGAATAAATAAAAACGTTAAATCGTTTTTTATAATAACGCTAAAAAATACAAGTAACCAAAAATGGCACAATTATTAAATAAAGAAAATATTTGTTACATTATAGCTAAAAGTAATAACAATAATTAATACTTACCGAATAAATACAAGTATAATATCGTTAGACACAAAATAACAACCGGCGAAGTTACCTCTAGCACATTCAACAACATACTGACAGAGACAACTACGAGACGTGTAACTTCATATAAAAATCGGTTCTGTGGATCGCTCATGCAGTGTATATCGTTTTCTCCCTTTCTCTTAATATTTGTGGATATGACTATCTCTTTTACAAATCACTCAAGGCAATGGTGAGATATCGCCACCATAGCCCCCTTCTCTTTATGTTCTGTCATGTATATATCTTGTCATAAAAGTCGTTATTTCTAGCCTAGCTTTTCGTTAGAGGTTATGTTTTGGAAAAATTTTTTGTTTATTTTATATTGTGGCTTTTCATATTGTAGTGTGTGTAGTGTTTGTATGGTATTTTGTTTGCATTTTCAAGAGCTTATTATATTACTAAAGCTAAAATAGTTTAGACTTTTTTTGATTAAATAGCAATGCCGGCATTTTGTTTAATTTGTGGATGCAGTGAAGATGAGGTGTCTAAAATGCATTACTTTCCACGTAATTCTACAAAGTAAGTACAATCTATCATTTAATTCAAATAAAACTGGTTTACTCGGCTTATGTTATGACAATATTGGAATATGAGTTGAGTTGCCAGTTAGGTCTCCTTTTTATGATGTAGGTACGTGTTAGGTCATTAGAATCTGTTCAAGACAAATTTCTTAGATTAGGTTTAGTAATGGCAACTCTGATTATAATGTTTTATTAAACTCTATGCATCTTAAATGCCTAAAAATTTTCGAAGGGGTACACTCAATTTATTATTTTTGCATAAAGTAAAGGAGTTATTCATTGTTTTGAACTTTTAGAATCCATGCAATTTAGAGAACCAGTAAGATTCGTGAAAATTATTTATTCATTCCATTTCACAGAACTAACTAATTATTATGACCTAAGTACCTATTTAGTTCTCTTAACAAAAATGCAAATTCATTAAATTTGGATATTAGGGGTACATCTTTCATTAATTCCTAATGAGTATTATTGTTGGTTTATATAAAAAAAGTACCTACTCAATACTTCCCACTTAATTGACTTAAGTGTTGTTGTGTTTGTTTTTAAAATAACATTTGCAAAGTATTGTATTCTTTCCAATTATATTTTTTATTGTTATGGGGATTTCGAGTAGGTATATCCTTCAATAATAAAAATTTAAAATTTTAAAATCTTGGTATTTATTTGTAGAATCTAATATAAAATATTATTGTTTAGATGCAAATTATGGTTTGATGCCCTGGGTATTCCATATTTCGAACAGAAATGCGAAATTTCAGAATCTGCAGTAAACACTTTGCTAGAACAGATTATATTGGAAACTGGAAATTAAAACCGGATGTATTACCAATGAAATTTATGGACTGCCAGACAACTGGAAATGTTACAGATTTGTTGAGCAAAGATATAAGTAAGTTGATTATTAAATTATTTCAGCAATTTTATTGAATCTGCGAAATTTCAGAATCTGCAGTAAACACTTTGCTAGAACAGATTATATTGGAAACTGGAAATTAAAATCTGTTGTATTACCAATGAAATTTATGGACTGCCAGATAACTGTAAACGTTACCAAGAAAGACTCATTTACCCTGCAGAACAACCAGTATTTTAGGTTGGAACAGCTATAAGCTTATTGGAAGATTTTCTTAAGTCTCCTACTTAACATTTTAAATTTAACTAAGGAAATAGAAAAGCTATTTGAAGAAAAAATAGATTTTGAATGGGTAACATGTACCACTCATAAACATTTTCTTATGAAATATTTTTTAAAGCAGTGTGGAAAATAGGCATTCCTTGGTGGTGTAAAAGAAAAATGAGGGAAATTAGGTCACAAAAAAATTACACAATCAAAAAAAATTAAAAAAATTTTACATATATAATTTATAATATAGCTTTCGGCCCATGATAGAACAGCCTTCTTCAGTGGGTTTTATTTTTCGATTCGTTTATTTCATTATTTTATTTTTTTAATTAATATTTATTATTATTAAGTCATTACTTTTCTTTTTTTAAATTCATATATCTATGGTATTTTATGGTTGTTTAAATTAATCCCATGTTTCATGTTTGCCAATTATTGTCTTTTTTTATGTATTTATGTCATTGCAATTTAAGGTTGGTTTTTGTTTGTTTAGTTCTGTTGTTTATAATATAGGTATTTAATATCGATATTTTTAATTATTATCATGAATAAAAATATAAAAACGATGGTATACTACAATTTTATTTATTAAACATTTTCTTTAATGACATAAAAAGAAAAAAAACACTACATAAATTTATGGTTAGCGTTTTGTTGCTTATAAACTTAAAAAAAAAAATAATTATAAAAGAATTAAACTTCGAAAAAATAATACATATTTACAGTGTCTACTTAAGTTGGCAGCATATGGAAAATTATTTTATTAGTGTTAGGAAAAAAAGTAAATATTAATTTGTTGTAATGTAAAATTCCCTCAGGCTTAAGAAAAATTCATAATTTCTGACAAGCCCTATAATTTTTTTCCTAAAACTAATAATAAATTTTCCATAATATGCTGTCAACTTAAGTAGAAACATTGTTTTCATTTAAAATTCCCGCTTATCCATGACCTATCCCAATGTTTATCAGATTAATATGGTTACTAACGCAAGAAGAGACCATTTAAAAAAGTACAATTAAAAAGAAGATCTAAGCGATCTGAATTTCCGGTTCTGTGAGCGCCGTGCACAGCGCCCTCGGTTGGTGCCTTTTATAGAATCGCCCAGTCAAATTTTGTTGAACCAATTATTTACATTGAGTTGCCCGTCTCTAGTTGTCTCTGATACTGAAAAGAATGCTGAACCACCACCAAACTACCCGCCGAAAATATCGATGCGTAAACTAACAACTTTTTACAAACGCGACAAAAGGAAGTAAACTCCAAAATGCTAGAATATCGGACATCTTATATACTACATGGAATTTTATTAGTTATTGGAAAAACTGCTCAGATTAAAACAAAATAATGTTGATGTCAAGTAAAACAATTTAAGGATATTGATTAGATTATTTGATATTACTAAAACAGGATAAATTTATAATTGTATAAATCTTCAATAGAGTAAAATGATTTAGATAATAAAATAACAAATTGTCTTCCCAGGAAAAACTGGATAAACGCCACGATCACCGATATTGCATGCATGCTAAAAGAGCTTAAGCAACAATAAATTTAATATTTGCTTTCTACCAAAATAGGATAACCACCAATGTTTAAAATAAATTGAATAGCTAATTGGTGTAAGTCAGATTAAAATGTTTTTCCATATAATCTAAACACCAGTCATCTGAAATTATCCTTTATTATGTCGCTTGGTAGAAAAAAATTGCTTACAATTATTTATTTTTCGGTTGACTTAAGCGACAATAAAATCGTAGTAGGAAGCTTAAACTCCGCTCATTCGACGAAGAAAAAAAAGAACTGTAGTGGCACCTAAATCTCAATTTAACAAATTATGTCGCTTATGACCTTTTACCTTTCAAGCATCGATATGTCAAAGCAAATAATTCTTCTTCTTTTTGAGTGTCGTTATGCATTTAATTCAGAGCAGTGGGTAGTTATCACGAACATGATTTGTACCACTGACTTTGATGGCCATAGCCTACTTTTTTTGTGGATTGCACAGTCACAGGTCACAGTCGTTTCTTTCTATCAAATTCATACATGCATTTAAATCGTCAGTAAGACATATACAATTACCTGATCTCAGTATAGCCAATAATGTAGCACCTATCATAAATGTCGTTCTGTTACCAAGTTTCAACCTCCTGAAGACCTCAGATGCTGTTACTCTACCTAGAACATCAGCAGATGATAGTGACGTCATCGTTGTAGTGGTTTGTAACATCGTCAGATCTGCTTCATCTTGAAGAAAAATGGGAAAAAAAGCACCGAAGGAGACGGTAGATACATAAATTAAACCTAAACCAACAACGATGTGGACATATACAGGGTCTTTTAATAGATTTAACCCTAAAGCTTTGGCTACTTTTCGGAAGAACGAATCCTTCTTTTCCTCTAGTTTTAGTTGAAACTGACCTGAAAAAAATTAAATTTATTAAATAATTCAAAATAAAATATGAATGTCGAATGAGTTGTCCAAACACGAAAAAAAGAAGGTATAACAGGGTTGACAGATGGTTAAGTTTGATTTGCAGGTCGAAATTTAAAAATCTTACAAATTTCGGACTTTTCAGAAAATATCCCAAAAAAAAATTATTTTTTTTTCGAAGATTATAATTTATTTCTGGATTTTAATAAATTTTCGCGAATAAAATATTCCTGCAAATCTCTAAAATCGTTCTAAATAAGCTGTTTTACAAATAAATCCTCGAGAACTAGAAAATATTTAATGCAAACACAAAAGAGTTTTGTCGAGAAAACTTTTTATTTTTGAGGCAGAAGTTATAAGTTATGATAGTAAAAGAATGTTATGACACTAAAAGAAAATGAAATTTGCGAAAGTTAAAGAAGATAGTATTCATTAAAAAAAAATAATAGTATTTAGGACATGCACAATGGGCCTAGTGAGGCCTAAGTTCCCTCCACACGTTACAGATTTTTTCTACACACACACACACGCACGCACGCACGCACGCACGCACGCACGCACGCACGCACGCACGCACGCACGCACGCACGCACGCACGCACGCACCCACGCACACACCCACACACACACACACACACACACACACACACACACACACACACACACACACACACACACACACACACACACACACACACACACACACACACACACACACACACACACACACACACACACACACACACACACACACACACACACACACACACACACACACACACACACACACACACACACACACACACACACACACACACACACACACACACACACACACACACACACACACACACACACACACACACACACACACACACACACACACACACACACACACACACACACACACACACACACACACACACACACACACACACACACACACACACACACACACACACACACACACACACACACACACACACACACACACACACACACACACACACACACACACACACACACACACACACACACACACACACACACACACACACACACACACACACACACACACACACACACACACACACACACACACACACACACACACACACACACACACACACACACACACACACACACACACACACACACACACACACACACACACACACACACACACACACACACACACACACACACACACACACACACACACACACACACACACACACACACACACACACACACACACACACACACACACACACACACACACACACACACACACACACACACACACACACACACACACACACACACACACACACACACACACACACACACACACACACACACACACACACACACACACACACACACACACACACACACACACACACACACACACACACACACACACACACACACACACACACACACACACACACACACACACACACACACACACACACACACACACACACACACACACACACACACACACACACACACACACACACACACACACACACACACACACACACACACACACACACACACACACACACACACACACACACACGTGGTTATTAGCTATTGATCTACGCACAGACTACAAAGTAGGCCATATTGCGTTCAACTGAACGAATATACATATCTCATTATTATTCATTCTACCTGCACACAGCACAAATATGAAATCACAGTTCATATTTTGATCACCCGGATACTATTATTTTTTTAAATTTAAATAAGTTACAATTTTGTCAAACTTATTGTTAGTATATTTTTTAGTAATTCTCTATAACAAGAGTTATTCTTATAAACAATCGATGAATAATAGCATTTCACAAGATATTCTTCTATATTTACAAATAAATCATAAATTTTAACAAAACTATATGAAATCAATTTAATTATGAAATATTAAAACTAAAATGTTATGTGTGACGATGGAACTGAGAGTAGCGTATCTAGATGCTATGCGAAAGGCTAATATTTTTTTAAAGTTTATTTTATTTTATAAATTAGTAAAAGTCACAAATTATAATTAAATTAGTTATTTTATATTAATAATCTAAAATAATTTTTAAAATATGTAGATTTTCGATTGCGTCGTGCTCAAACTTCATCTTCCTATGAGATGGCCATCATATCCACTCTTGTTGCACACAAACTACCATTAGAATTATGGTAAGAATAATTAGATTTTTCTATTTTTATTTGATTTTGGAATTTATAAGATTAGATTTGAGTCGAGTAGTTCCAGACCTAAAATCCACGGTTATTCCCAGGTAAATATTTTTTCCCCAGGACACCTATTTTAAAACCATGGGAGTATCTGTAGCTAGGGTTACCAGACGTCCCGCTTTAGGCGTAATTGCCAAGATTTTTCACTTGCTGGCACGCGTCAGGCCAAAGTACCAAAATGCCACGCAGTTTTGATTTTGACATTAACACCATATAGATTGCAATTTTCTGGGGACTTTTTCGCATATTTCGTTTTTAATATAAACACTCGAATTGTAATTGATACAAATTAAAATGTAAACAATGAACACGAACGCCAATGTTTGCCAAATGATGAACTGATTTTAAAACAAAATTAATAAATGAACTGAAATATAAAAAAAATCAATATAATAAATCGATTTTATAAAAAAATCCTTAAATAAATATAGAGTATGATAACAAATTTTGATTCTTAAATAAAAGGTCTTATCCACTTCTTCAAGAGCTAAAATCCGACGACGTAGCGAAGTTTTGCTACTTCTGGCAACAGTGAACGATATCACGATATCCTACTTTTACGGACCATCTACAAATTTCCTCCAGAGGGCGTATCACTTAGCTTGAATCGCGAATATTGGCGATTCAAATTAATTTTCGCGCGCCTGTCATTTGTCATCTATAAGTAGGATGTTTGTTTATTTACATGTTTTTGTTTTGGGCGGATTTTGTATTTGTGATTTTTTTTAACTGTTTTTAGATAATATTCTCATTGTAATAGTATTTTTGAGTTTCATTTAGTGTTAATTTAAGTTTAAGTCTCGTGCTTTCGTCATAAATATAATATTTATCATGTGTATGACTTAATTTGTTGGAAATATTCACCTATTGGTTGCTACAAGAACATCTAGAAATATGTATTCACTAAACCCAGGACATGTTTTATTACGTGGTTTAAAGGACATTTCAGGTACCACACGTTTATTATTAATGAACTTATTTAAAAATCTTTCTATCCTTATTCTTATTAGTGAATTGTGTAGTACTTTGTATACATATAAATGCTAATAAAACCGTTACAACTCAGATTACAGTTTGATTCTAAACAAAGTTTTGCAAAATTTCAATATTGTGAATTTGTAGATATCCATTTATCATAAGAAACAAAATTTTACGACTTGTACTTAGAAAATAATGAATACTTCAGTTTTGATTTTGACATTAACACCATATAGATTGCAATTTGCTGGGGACTTTTCATTTCATTTCATTTTTAATATAAACACTATCACATACTATAAGAAATAAACAAATTTAAAGCTAAAAAGTAACTAAAAACTCGAATTGTAATTGATACAAATTAAAATGTAAACAATGAACACGAACGCCAATCTGGCCAAATGATGAACTGATTTTAAAACAAATTCAATAAATGAACTGAAATTTAAAAAAATCAATATAATAAATCGATTTTATAAAAAAATCCTTATAAATATAATGTATATAATATAAATGAATATAAAGTATAATTACATATTACTAGACACAAATTTTGATTCTTAAATAAAAGGTCTTATACACTTCTTCAAGGGCTAAAATCCGACGACACAGCGAAATTTTGCTACTTCTGGCAACACTAAAACGATATCCTACTTATAGGGACCTTTTACAAATTTCCTCCAGAGGGCGTATCGCTTAGCTTGAATCGCGCCGCAAGAACCATAGACAAATTATTAAGGGAAAGTCGGATCCCGTGTTAACTTTTGGAAACAAATAGTGCTGCGAATTAGTATGGAACGGATTTTTTTTTAACTACACTGGCTGATTGACTTGCCAGTTAGAGGCTCAATAAGAAAGAGAAGAATAAAAAAAGAAGAGCTTTAAGCGAACCGCGGTTCATTCAAACATAATTCATTATTTATTTACATTTTTTGGCATTCATTACTCTAAAAAAAACTAATATTTACATCAAAATAATGTATTTAACATAAATATTAGTTTTTTTTTTTCGTAATAAAACCCCAAAAAATATAAACAAAAAATATTTACATTAAAATAAAATATTTGAAACATATATTTTAATTATTTATTATAAAGTAATACATACATACATGAGCTCAATATTAAATAACAATTGTAAGTAAAATGAATAGTAGGTAGTCTCCCCCATTCTTGGAAAAATGGACCATATTTTGTTGTGTATGGTGTTTACTATAAAAACAAAACAAAAAGTGTACATCTGTCTTATTGAAAAATTTCTGTTATCAAATATTAATAAAATACAACTTTTTCTCTTTAGGACTTAAATTTCTAACTCTACTTTTATTTATTTATTGTTTTTCTTCGTTTCAAGGGTCTTTCAAATTGTTCATAACCAATTAATAAGTTTGCAACTAATTTGTTTTTCTTATGCTGCTATATTTGTGCTTCAGCCTCAACTTATTCTAAAATCTAATTCTCAGGTTGTATATTGGAACTGAATGCACAATTATCTAATGAAATTGGTACAGAATGTCCAACTAACAGTTTACATTTTGATGAAATCCTATGTCTTAAAAGACTCAGGCAAAAATGGTCCGCACAAAGATAGCGAGTATTATTATCTAAAGTTAAATTTAAAGTCTTAAACCAGTTCTGGCAAGTTTTAATATCGGAAGGAAAATAAAAAACGGTTAATATTTGATTATTCAACTTTCTGAATTTTAGAATAATACTTATTTAAACAATTAGGAGCTGAACAAGAATACTCTCGA